ACAATGCTGTACCTTCAAAGAGCGAAGGTAAAGAGAACTTTTTCGAAGTGTTTGCTCCTGTGTTTGAAAGAAATGCGAGATGGTCTTCCAAAAAGCACGTACCCAAACTTGGCACCATGGAGTCATCTTTTGAAGAAGTGGACAATTTTTATGCATTTTGGTAAGTGGTAGTCATTTTTTAGTTCCTTTCTAGCAAGGAATGCTGATTTGATAGGAAAACGAGTCAGAGATGACAAGCTGTTATTTCTACTCTTACAGGTACAACTTTGACTCATGGAGGGAGTTCTCATACTTGGATGAAGAGGAAAAAGAAAAGGCTGAATGGTGAGCTCCTGTGTGTCACAGCCATCGAAAGTACTAAACCAAATCCAAGGTTGTGTGTTTGAACTTTGTCTGATGTGTTTTAACAAATTTTTTTTCCTATAGCCGAGATGAGAGGAGGTGGATTGAGAAACAGAATCGAGCTTCCAGAGCTCTGAGGAAGAAAGAGGAAATGAACAGAATACGAACACTAGTTGGTACAGTCCTTTAGAGCCAGCACACAAACACACATTTCATAAATCTGATTATCAGTAAACAGCTAAAAATATGACCAAACTGCACAAGGCCCAAACATCTTTTGTGCAAGTCTCCACCATATATGGGAATGTATTGCACACTGCAGGAATTTATAAATTCACAGATGAATAAACGAGTCAGATTGATTCTTTGTATTGCTTCAATGCAGATACTGCCTACAGTTGTGACCCTAGAATAAAGAAATTCAAAGAAGAAGAGAAAGCCAGAAAGGAATCGGAGAAGAAGGCTAAAGCTGAAGCCAAGAAGAGAGAGCAAGATGAGAAGGAGCGAGTAAGTGTGTAACCCCTGGCGATTTGGCAGGTCCAGTAACTGTCTCTAGTGAATAAATATCTAAGTAGGGGCTGCAGCTAACCACTGTTTTTGATTATTGATTAATCTGTGGATTATTTCTAAAATAAATTGAATTATATGAAGAAACTACAAATCTGTTTTCCACATTATGAAAACAAAAATGCATTCATTTAAACTATTCTTTTCCTAAACAATCCTCAACACATTCACTTAGTCTGCATACTCTGCACCATCTCCATTAACATGTATATGTGTTATCAATGTTCCTGAACACAAGAACACCTTAGTTTTGCTTATTGTATTTGATATAATGCTTGGCTGCTTATATGTCCATTTAAACAATTCTTTTCCTAAACAATCCTCAACACATTCACTTAGTCTGCATACTCTGCACCATCTCCATTAACATGTATATGTGTTATCAATGTTCCTGAACACAAGAACACCTTAGTTTTGCTTATTGTATTTGATATAATGCTTGGCTGCTTATATGTCTCATGCTTACATGAATGGAACGCAAAAGCATTTAGCAGCCAACACAACCCACCAGTATGTTCCTAAATTTATAAGTAAGATAACATATGTAACAACATAACATCTTTTGCTTTCAATCCTGGGTTGAATAAAATGTTAGAAATGTGTTGATGTGTCAAGTTTAAATTTCTGTAATTGGCATTGTCCTACTAATAAATACTGCAGTTTGCTTATAGTCACCAAATCTTGTGGAAAGACTAAAAGCAACCTTGTATTAGTCTGTATAAATGTAAGACTAGGAAATCATTTCTATGTGATTTACCTCCTAGTACACATACTGTAAGTGGAATAGAATCCTCATCACATGTTCACTGTCAGATGACCAGCACACACCAAGCTCCAGATAGTTCAAGGCACTGGTTTAGGAGACTATCAAGTTTGCTTTTGAAACGACATCATCAGTCCGGCAGATGTGTATCATTTGGTTTTCTGTGTTTGGTAGGCCCGGCAAGCGGAGCTGGAGGCAGCTCGCTTGGCAAAGGAGAAGGAGCAAGAGGAGGTCAAGCAGGCAGCCCAGCAGGCAAAGAAGGAGAAGGAGATCCAGAAGAAGGCAATCAAGAAGGAGAGACAGAAACTCAGGACAACCTGCAAGGTCAGTTTTTACTCCATGTACCGGAAATGTTTCAGAAGAATTCTGTGAAGTAACGTTGAATATGAATCTTTAATGTTTTTTTGTTTGTTGGTGTCCACACTTTTCCTCACTCGCAGAACTGGAATTTCTTTGCTGAAAATGAAGCTGACGGTGTGAAAATGATGGAGGACGTGGAAAAGCTGTGTGATCGGCTGGAGCTGACGAGGTGCAAGATTAGCACATAGTCAAACCTTAATGCTGTAGAAATGGTTTGGGACACATTTCTGTAGAGCGGTGCCCCAGACACATCTAAGATGATCTTAAACCTGTTATAATTGTATAAATGACAAACTAAGATCATACCATCCTTACGATGCTTACACACGGTACCAGAGGACATGTTTAACAGTATTTTATGGTATTTGTTTCTAGCCTGCAGTCCTTGAATGAAATCCTGGCCTCGGCCTCTAAAGAAGACAGCAAGGCAGCTGTGGAGAAGCAGGTAAAAAAAAAAAGGCAGCCTTTTGTTTAGAAATATTTTTATCTGTATTTCACATTTGATAGTGGATACAGGAGATTCACAGGGATGAACACCAGCCCTATGGGGATGAGTAAGGCAAGTTTATTTATGTAACACATTTTCATACACAAAAGCAATTCAAAGTGCTTTACATAATGCATACATACATGAAAACATTAAATGCAACTAAATGAATAAAAAGAAACAGTTTAGACATGTTTAATAAAAGAGAAATACAGGGAAAAAGTAAGTGAACCATTTGGAATGACCTGGTTTTCTACAGGATTTGGTCATAAACTGTGATCCAGTAAATATTCCTAGCAGTGAAAAGATGTGCAGTCCTCACAAGTGGACAAATGTGTTGGAGTTGCTTTTCTCAGGTGCAAGAGGTGAATGCCCAGCTACAGAGGGAGCGGGAGGCTGAGGTCCAGGCAAGGCAGGCGGCTCGCAGCGCTGAGCAGGCCAGTGGAGGAGGAGGAGCCGGGGGGAAAGGCTGGAATGAAGATGACCTCCAGCTGCTCATCAAAGCTGTCAACCTCTTCCCTGCTGGAACAAACTCCAGGTAGGCTTTCTGAAGTGAAGTAACTAGCTATGGTTGGTAGAATAGAAAACAAGAGAGAAGTACATACTTTGCCCTTTGGCAAAGGGGTTGGGTCAGTTTTTCTCCCAGCCACCACTAACAATATTTGTCACTGTGTTTCTTCCTTCTTTTATAGATCTCTTTTCATTTTTGCCCCTCTGCTTGTGCACAGTTTGTCCTGTGCTGTGACAGTGTTTTTGTTTGCCCAAGTAACGTAGGGATAAACAGTATACACTTGGTGTGAAGCAATATACCTTTGTGCTAATTCATCAAAATGAATTATTTTTAATACAGTTAATCATGGAGGTCTGCTTTGCAGCATATGCCAATAACTGATCTCTTCCAGATGGGAGGTTATTGCCAACTACATGAACTTGCACTCCACCAGTGGCATGAAGAGGAACGCCAAAGATGTCATCAACAAAGCCAAGAATCTACAACGACTAGGTGAGCTAAGATATGATTTAGCTGTCTGCCTTCAGGGTCACATCATTTTGCATTTCTGATCTTTGTTTATTCATTAATAGTGGCTGTTTAAATGTGCTCACTTAAGCTGGAGTCAGAGTGAATAGTTTTTAATACACTGCCACTCACTAAGACCTGCTGGTGTGCTGTACAAGTTTCATGTGCACTTACAGTATGCAGAGCAAAGCAGTTTTTTTTTTCTCCTGCAAGTCAACAGTGAACTGAGTGATAGACTTCAAAAATTCTCTGTATAGAGAAAATGGCATTTTACAAATCCAAAATATGTGGTTTAGGAAAATTTGTCTTAGTAACAGTACAAAAAATATTTTCCATACTCTTTAATTTTGATGATGTAAATTGACTAAGCCAAAATGTTGTCCTGTTAATGTTGTGCGCTCAGATCCACTACAGAAAGATGAGATCAACAAAAAGGCCTTTGAGAAGTTCAAGAAGGAACACGCCTCAGTGGCGCCCTCCATAGACAACGCTGTGCCCTCCGAGAGATTTGACGGTGAGTGTTATCTGTACAGCTGCTTAGTGTCTGACTGTGGAAAATCATGATTCAAGTGGTGTGTTCCTGTCTTGGGTTGATGTTTGGTACAGTGGAAGGACTGAAGTTGATCAAGAAATTAATTGTAAGGCAAATATCAAAACAAATATTCAAACAAGAGCCAGTAGTTTGTATATCTAGGTAACCAGCATGTAGAATTCAGTAGTCAGCCTTTTTCCTTTGTTCATCAGAAGGTGACTTTTGTTTAAACGTTGGCAGTTACCCTTTTTGTAGTTCATGTATTGTTGCAGACTGACTGTTTCTACCTCTTACAACCTAAAAAGCCTCAACAGAAATTCACGAGCTGTGTAACTGTGCTGTCTCTCCTCCTTCAGCCTCTGGTAGTGATGCTAATGCTGCACCTTGGACTACAGAGGAACAGAAACTTTTGGAACAAGCTCTAAAGACCTACCCAGTCAGCACACCTGAGCGCTGGGAGAAGATTGCTGCTGCTGTCCCCAAACGAAGCAAGAAAGACTGTATGAAGAGGTACAAGGTAAGGTGATGTGCCAGTCTCTTTTGGACTTGTTTCAATTAGCGGCCACTAGTATTCAGAAAGTTGCAAGTTTATTAGGTACACCAAGCTAAAACTATTGGTCTAATTTTTTTTTTAAGAAACAGTTTAAAAAGGTGTTGAATCAACTTGTGGTTGTCTTGCAGGCTGTAGCCTGGTGCTGCTGAATTGTAATTTTTATACTGAGTGGGCTATTAAGTCCACCCCAATTACATCACAATACAGTTTAGCTGCACCAGGAACTACATCCTCCTAATGAGAATGCTGGTAGTCTGACAGACTTCCCTGTTTCTCTGACAGGAACTGGTGGAGATGGTTAAAGCCAAGAAAGCTGCACAGGAGCAAGTGGCAGGCAAAAGTAAAAAATGACAAAAACCACGACAATAGTATGTGTTATTTTATCATTATTGTATTGGTCTTTATTTTATAATAAAAATTTCAAGAAGATAAAAGGATTTAAATAGTCTTTCTAGTCATACAGTATGAAAGGTCATTTGTCCTCAGGTTCTCATCCAGAACATGCCACTGCGGATCTGGTTGTACTCTGGAAGCCGTTCAATTGGACCTGAAACAGAACAAATTGTAAACATAACTCCAGGTAATTACAACATAGATTTGACTTATGTAGCACTGGCCATCACTTCTAATGACATTGTACTTAATCACTTGAACTAAATCCAACAGAGGGCACCAAGCATGAGCGTTCACACAGTTTAGACTCTAACCTGCTGCGGGGGTGGACTCGCTCAGTTTGACTTCTAAACAGTCTAACAAAGGTTTGTAATGTTGCTGCATTCTGAAATCTCAGCAATTAGATCAATTCCACTGAAATGAGACCCAGTACTACAAAAATAAAACCTGGGTCCTAATAACTTTTTACCATCTATAGTAGCAAGAACCCTTTGGCATGACCTGGTTTTCTACATGATTTGGTCCATGGCTCCATGTGACCCAATCTTCATCTAAATTGCAAATATAGACACAATGTGCTTAAGCTAATAATTTGAACTCTTCATGTCTTTATTAACCCAGCCATTAAACATGAACATTGCCAGTGGGGGAAAAGTAAGTGTACCACTGAATTTAATAACTGGTTGAAGCCCCTTTGGCTGCAGTTACTTCATACAAGAGCATCCTGTGGATCAGACCTGCACACCATTGCAGGTGGACCTACTACAAAGGTATACAATTTATACTAATTCATCTTACTCTAAAATTTAGACTAACATTTAGTGACTAAACCAATTATGGACATTCAGCAACATACCAACTGCTGCAATGGCAGGAGCCTTGTTGAAGATGTATTTGGTGCACACATCCTTAATGGTCTCTGCGCTGATGGCCTATGGCAGAGAAAAAGTAAGGACACCAACCATTTCTCACCACAACACTCCTATCAAAGGTCATGAAGTGGAGCAAAGTGAAACATAGGCTTCATGAAACTGCATATTTACCTCTAATTTGCAAACATTTCTAAACATTTTTTCACTCTGCTACCTCCACCAAGCAGTTTGTTTTGATGTGTGTTTGTTGGTTAGCACTTTACAGACATTGGTGAGGCCTAACCCTAGAAGTGATTAGATTTTGGCTGAAAGGAATGAAGGCCATAAAAAATAATGAAAAAAAGTCAAACAAAAAAAATCCCCATGTTTAACATGGGACAAAAATGAATAATTCTTATCTCCATTGAAAGTTAACATCATTAGTAATCATGGGACCAAATTTGGACCATTTAAGGTTAACATTGAAAACCCAATTTAATGCATATAACTTGGCCTATAATAAAGACAGAACCCTGAAATAGGTAAGATGCAGAGTATAACTGATTATAATACCCTAAAACATGATCCAGATCAAGGACACATTTTGTGTTGTTCTGCATCAGTTTTCACAAGGTTTGCATTTGCATGAGCAAATGTGCCTTGTTATGGGTTATTGAGTGGAGACTGACAGGCAAAAATGGCAGCACTTTCCTAACAAGAACAGGAGTTAATGTAGAATTTTGACTAGTGTCCAAATGTGTCTTATTTAACCTCGAGTCAAAACTATCCACTCACATCAATCCTGGCCTCCAGCTCATGCAGAGGGATCCTGCGACTGTAGCACAGCATCTGTCTGCCAATGTCCTCACAAATAGGGGTGGATCCTGGAGCAAACAAAACCAAGCTGACACTGTGAACCATGTGCCACTGTGCTTCTCTGACCATCGGTGCTAAATGAAGTGACCTCACCGTCGAGATGCAGGAGCATGTTGGTTTTGAGCAAATTCTTGGCCCGGGCCACCTCGCTCTCCGTCACACTTGTACAAAGAGACATCCTGACGAGGAGCAACATTATTTATCAACCCACCACATTTCAAACAGTCATGATCTTCTGTTTTATATTGAGATCTGTGAGGAGTCAGCAGCTACATAGCCTCGGCATGTGTATTCTAAACTTTAGTTTAAATCATTTCTGCACTGTATCTGACTGTCCCTCCTTTGTGTGTACTCACCATTCCCTCTGCGTAAAGTGCATCATGTCGCGGATGGTACCGGGCTCACATACCATGTAGAGCCCCCACAGGCCTGTGTCTGTGTAGCAGGTGTTGAAGGATTGGAAGCTGTGGCACAGGTTTCCCTGACAGGCCATCTGGGCCAGTTTACTGGACAGATTCTGGGGTCACAAAAGACAAAGCTCACCACAAAGGCAAGAACACAGAAACAGGATCTGGACTCTGCTTCATTATTCCATACACACTGCGGGTTGTGTCCCTTTTAAAAATCGGTCAGTAGCAATATTCTGTTTGCCATTTTAAAATGGGAAAATTAAGAATTACTGTGTCTGACAGCTTTTACAGAAAAGTAAGACAACAATCCACTGTTATTCATGAATGAATGGATGTTCTGAGGACTGGGTACTACAACAGAAGTAACTAACTTGGAATAATTCCACATCATAATACAGAAAGACAAGATATGGGTCAAAATTTGTTTTAGGGTTTTACGAGAATATTTTGCCATCATTAGGTAACATGTTTTGAAATTGTAAAACTACTTGTCATCAAATATGAGAAAATAAATTGTCATTTCATGATCTCAAAACACTTACACCTTGAGTATGATATTAGTTCTCAGCACTTAGAGTAATTTTGTCAACCCAAAATGAATTTATGATCACTTAAAACCTTTTCGTACAAAGAAAATCTGCAATAATCCTTGACAATACAATGTAATGCAAAATACACAACAGTACAGTCAATTTAACTGGCATCTGAAGCATTTGGTTACCTGCTGACCAAATGCATTCATGTATCTGCATGACTGGCAACTTCTAACGATTATTAATGGCTACTTAAGCTGCCTAATGCAGCCTGCAGTAAGATGTCTAAACATAAAAGAATTCAGTAATCCTGTGCCAAATAACCCGACTATTGAGTTTCACCGTTACTCACCACACCACCACCAAAGGAGCGGTCCCAATTTCCAATCAGTGTGTTTGCCACCATGAGGGGGATGGTGTCAGGATGAGACCATCCGACTGCCTCCACTGCGATGGCAATATGAGCCAGGGGCATCTTGTCATCACGCACACGGATCTGAAGCAACAGTATAATGATCACATGGTGAGTAATTCAAGACTGTCTTCCTATAAAATAAATAACACAAAACAAACCTAGAAACCTAAGATATTGCAACGGCATGTAGTTTTAGCCTTAAGATGACCTTACCTCACTTCCTGTGAAGTGGCAGGGAGGAAGTGCTGGAGCTTCACCTTGATATCTGCCAGGAAGTTTTCCAAAGTGATATGTGGCCAAATCAATGAGCTCGTCATGTGAAACTCCTGTTCAAATACAGATCCTAGAATGTCACAACAACCCTGAGGTGATATTTCACGCTGGTTAGGCTTGTATCAACCCATTTTAATCTAACATGCAAGGAGATAAGCAGCTCTGACCTCCAGCAGCAGCCAGCACTATTCTGGGGCCCTTGTAATGAGTGGTGATGTACTCAACCAGGTCTCTTCTGTTGATGGTTCTGCATCACAAAGACAAAATTAACTCAAAGCATGAAAGCAAACATGTAAAGAACAACATTTCTAAAGTACATTTCCAGCCGAAAAGCAAGGCTGCACTATTGCAAACCAAGGCTGCTATGCATTAAATTGAATCCATGGTTTTACTTGATGTTCTCAGTGGGGCCCAGAATGGTCCTGCCCAGAGCTGTGGACTGATACGCTGTAGCGTGCAGGTAGTCAAAGACCACCTCCTGTAGATTGGTCTCCACTTCCTGCATCTCTCTCAGGATGACCCCTCGCTCCCTCTCGATCTCTGCCTCTCCCAGTGTGCTGTTCTGGATGATGTCAGCCAGGATCTCCACAGCTAGGGAGACAAAAAACAGCTAAACTAACTGGATAAATGAAACTATTTTTGTTGTTACTGACACATATCTCTGTGATGTTCAGTTGTTTAGTATTGTGCTGTAATTTAGTTTTTGGTTTACTAATATTTATCAACCATGCAAGTTTTTCTTATGGCGGTATGAGTGTTACATTATTTTTAAATGACAGTTCATGACATAACTGAAGGCAAACTATAATATCTCTAGTACATGTAGACACCTCACTTTTCTACTAACTTTTAAACCTTGTTTTTGTGGCTCCACTGTGATTCTTGATGGTGGCTCCAGAAAGAAGCCCTCACTCTTTCTAACAAATCTAATATACAGAGAGAACTGCCATGGATGCTCACCTCTTCAACACTAATTTAATCATCATTACAGTCATTTCTACATCTCAGGAACATCTTAATCTCACTGTAACATTCAGCTCTTCTGCACTGTACCTCGTGGAAGATCCTTGGAAAATGCTTTGGCATAATACACAGTTTGCTCCCGGGACGTGTAGGCGTTCAGGTGAGCCCCCATATTCTCGATCTCCAGCTCCAGATCCAGCTGGGACCGTTTCCTGGTACCCTGACATACACATACACACAGATGAACAAACCTTGGAGAGTGCTTTGCATTATTAAATACTAAACATTTTATTTTATAATCATGAATATTACATTTGCAGTGTTATGTGTCATAAACACTGCAACCATCTCACCTTAAATGCCATATGCTCCAGAAAATGTGCTGTGCCATTATTTCTCTCATTCTCATAGCGACTGCCAGCATCTATCCAGAGGCCCACCTGGAAGACATCGGTAATTATTATTCAGATAAGACACATTCTCTACTGCTATTGTGCCACAATTTCAGACTTACTGTATACCTGTATACCTGTATACTCTATATTGATGGAGCTAAAATCATTGAAACAATGCCTTGAGTTATATGATCTCATTTTGGAGGAAGTCCCTTAATACGCACATGTTAAGTGAGCACGTTTTTGGTGATATATCCACAGTGTATATCAACAAACACTCATAATTCTGATGACCATGCGTATGCAACTTTGCAGTGGACGCACACACCTCTGGTAAGGGACTTGTAGCCTTATGATTGTCTAAGCTTTGCTATAGTATTTTGTATGACTTTCTCCAAGTTGCATCCTATTCTTTCTTTAATACATGTTTAATGCAGTGTACACAGTGACACCACATAAAAAAACTGTAGAACCAGGATCCTGCAGGTTTCATAAAATTTAATTTAAGACTTTGTATGACCTTTTTTTAGACTACTCTGAATGCAGCTTAAGACCTATTTCACATCCATACTGGCAAAAAAAAGCCTAAATGATATGAAGAAAATTATGCTGAGTCTTCATGTTGAACATGAATTAATTGCTTTTCAAGTACTTCTTGCACTCTAATTTTGTTTATAGAGTATGAAGTCTGCAACACCTCGGTAATTAAATGTTACCACAGATCTCAACACTGGCCAGAGGTCTCTTCCTGGTGTTGCAGAAGTTTTGTACAGAGTGGGTTGTGCTGGGGCCAGGCCTTGGTGATGCCTTAGTGTTTGTATGACTTCCCATGCGACTCCAGTGCCCTTATATCCAACGGTCCTAATTTCAGCATTTTCTATGGTCTAGCAGATTTCAAATCTGTGTTAACTGGCTTCAACTAAGCCCTGAATGCACAGTTTTCAGTCAAGGTCTCATTAAACAACCTACCTTCAAGTACCTTAAAAACTGCACACAAGTGCACAGTTGATTTGATTGAGATTTTTCTGTTTACTGCACTTTGTATGAAATTAATTGATAAATAAAAATCAGTCATTGCATTATTTATGAAAGCGCCCTCAAGTTTACTTTTATGGTCTTAAACTTTTTAATGGTACCCTATGTAAATACCAGAATAATTTAATGAATGCTTTCCTCAAATAAAAGTTGCAGTATTAGTACTAAAATACAACATTAGCAACATTTTTGGCCACAAATATGTAATTATGAGGATGTTTTTGTTATTTGAGCATAGAAATAAGCTTGGGGTCAACAGAGTCTCAATATAACATTTCTGTGTGTAATAGTTTAATACATGTGTGGCTTCAAGAATGGAATCCACCATGATTATTACAATACGGGTTAATTGGGCACGATCAACAGCGAACGTCTTTCTTTTACTCTTGCTTTTGTGGGAGGCAAAGCTTAACTTACAGTGCTAGTGGTAAGCCCAGCATCCTCAGAAGCCACCCGGAGTCCGTTGTCTAACATGGTCACCTTGGTTTCAGGAACATTTAAGACCACCTGGTACGCAGCCTGGGTAGCCAAGAGTCTGTGTGGTCCAGCTATGACCTGAAGAGGGGAAGACAGTGGGGAATTATCACAGTCATGATGACGCTTAAAATTTAGGGCACTGACGTCAGCTGTTACCAGTCTCTTGTCACAGATAATTCAAATAACAGTGTCGTCAATACTTTTATTTTATTACATCTTCCAGCACTTGAAGAATTTTATGTCGAGCATGTCGCATGTGATAGCTAACTAACATAACTTGAACTGTTAGCAAACACTGAGCCTGACAGACAATGGTGAACTTTTTTCCGTTAGACTATACACTGAAAACAGTCAAGGAGCTGTTATGTAAAACTTGTATGTAAACAAACTCGTCTTACCTTTCTTAAGGAATTTGTATTCATTAAGTGTCTTTGTAGGAGACATCTCCCAGCAGATGTAAAAGCCTGTATAGACGCCGCCATATTGTTTATTTGTCACACTGCGCATGTGCAGATTATATAAACTTACTCAATACGCAATATCCGCCGAGCTGATTTTATTTAAAGAATAAAACCTGAGGACTATTAGAAAACTGATATTAGTAGTAATACAAATTGTAAGTTCTAAAATATTTAAAGGTTTTTGATCACATTTAACATTCTCGAATAATTTGTTGATAGTTCAGTTTGCAAATTATAAGGAAAAGGCCATTTCAACCTTCTTTACTACTCTGGTTCTTCATGGTTATGTTTATTGTGAAAGGGTCTGATAGTTGAAAGGCGGAAGCGGGGGTTTATCCTAGCGCGAATTTTCTAGAGAATTTCCCAAGTTTGTCTGTTGTCAACTCATCATATTATTTCACAGTGAGTAGAAGAGTCAGTCAAGACTAAATCACATATTCATTCAGAGCAGAGAGCCAGCTAAGGTGTCGGGCATTTGACAGCTTTCCCCCTTTATCCCAACGTAGTATGATTTTTTTTCGTGTTAAGCCCCGTGTCTTCGTTAGCAGCTAATGGTGTAGTTAGCTGCTAATGGCGTAGAGTTAGCTAATTAGTGGCGTTAAGTTTAGTGGCTTTAGGTTTAGTGGATACATTAAAACAGCAGTCATTATCTTTGGTGTTGCTTTCAGACATATAATGGCGGATGGTGGAGGTCTAATGGATGGTGATCTCGAAGATGGGGAGATATCCGGCTCCAGCTCGGACACGGAGGTAGGAACCGCAGCAGCAGCACAAGCTCGACTCCAGGCTCCCCCATTTTTCAGCGGGCAGTCTTCTCAGAACAGAGCTGCTGCTCAGCCCCCGTCTGCTTACCGCAGCGCCAGTAGGACGGTTGAGTCCAGCGACAGCGACCTAGATTCGTCGGATGAGGAGGCGGCTCTGTGGCGCCGTAAGCGTCAGAAAGTGTCCAACGCTCCCCAACCGCCTGCCTCCACCGCCCAGCCTTGGCCGACCAGTCTGCCCGCTCCCACTGCACCGGGAGGCCGCAAGGTGAACAACATTTGGGGCTCCGTGGTTCAGGAGCAGTGCCAGGATGCCATAACTGCAGAGATCGGCATATTTGGCATGGATGGTGAACTGAACATGTCCAGCAGAAATGTAGAGACTTATAACTTTGTCCTGGCACGAAAGATAATGGAGAAGGAGAGGGAGATAGAGAGGCAGTCGAAGAATGAAGGAGATGTGAGCATGCTGGATGCCCAGCTAGAGGAATACATGAAAGGCCAGGGGTCAGAGGACAGGACAGGAGGTGATGCAAAGAGGAAAAGACCAGCTAAAGAGAGACTAGGTCCCAGAGCTGAGATGGACATCAAGGGCCGGTATGAGATCACAGAAGATGACCCTGAGAACAAAGTGGCAGATGAGATAGCATACAGGCTCCAAGAGCCTAAAAAGGACCTGATAGAACGTGTGGTTAAAGTCATTGGAAAGAAAAAAGCCATAGAACTGTTAGGAGAGACTGCCACACTGGAAGAAACTGGTGGAGTGTACACCATGGATGGCAGCAGGCGACGAACACCAGGTGGGGTGTATCTCAACCTCCTGAAGAACACACCCAGCATCACCAAGGCACAGATCAGACAGATATTCTTTGAAGAACAACAGAAAGAGTACAAATGCAAGAAAGCTGCTCAGAAGAGGAGGCGGTGTGTGGTGGCCAAGAAGATGAAGCAGGCCATCGGCACACTAAATCTGCAGGAGCATGATGATGTCTCTAGGGAGACTTTTGCCAGTGATACTAATGAGGCCTTGGAATCTTTGGAGGAGGCTGCAGAAGAGGAAGAGGAAGAGGAGGGTCAGGAGGAAGCTGCTGTGGGCACTGAGGAGACAGCGGTGGTCTACAGCTCTGCAGACCTTGAGGTCTTTTGAGGGCTGCCTGCTGTTTGAACTCTGGGAGGACTGATAATAGATGTTTGAGGTTAAAATTAGGTTAAAACACTGAAACCACTGTGTAAGTGATAATACAGAATCACGCCTGAGTGTCCCTTTTTAACAGTAGCAATTAAAGTAGAGCTTATGTTAACAAAAGTATTGTTTTTGTTTGTTATGGCATGGAGTTATAGATCTCAGCACATGTAAATGCAGAATTACCACAGGATGGTTTGATTTGTTATACACGTTTTGGCTTAATTCAAATTTGAAATGATCAAAAAGAAGCATACTGGGGTAAGAGCAATGCACTCTTGCCCATTTTCAAATGCACTGTCTGCTATATTTATTAATTTAACTAGGTGGAAAATAAAGGTAACTCAGGTAAAATGACATGGAAAAACATTAGATGGTTTGTATGCTTGATCGAGAACAAAGATTTTTATTGTCAATTCACTATATGTGCAGGACATACAGAAAATCAAAATACCATTTCTCTCTCACCTAGTATTCTATTTCTCTCTCACCTACCATTTAGGAAACTAAAATAGAATAAAAGTAGAGTGAAAATAGACTTTAAAAGAATAAGAAAACTAAGTCAAAGTGATTAGGATAAAACTAAACACTACATCCTAATAGGCTGTGACTCAAACTATGTACAATCAGTGACAGTAGTGCAGCAAATAGCAAGAAGATTGTCAGGTGGTTATGAGATTGAGATGCACATGGACAGTAGTGCAAATGACCAACAGCAGCAGCAGTAAAAACAGTCAGCAACAGATTTACATGTAATATAGCAAGACCCAAAACAGCAGAGGTAGTCTTTTTATGTTCTGTGGTGGGTCACAGTCCAGGGGCAGAGGGGGGAGGTAATGGACAGTGTTCAGCATCCTCACAGCCTGGTGAATGAATCTGTTGTTTGTAAGTCTGGTGGAGTGGGCCTGAAGACTCTGATACCTTCTCCCTGAAGGCAGGAGTCTGAAGTGAGGGGTGGGAGGTGACATCAGCAATGCTGATGGCTCTGTGGGTGAGGCAGGTGTTAAAAATGTCCATGAGGGAAGGCAGAGGGGCGCCGATGATCTTGCTGGTTATATTCACAATGCATTGCAGGGTCCTTCTGCAGGAGGCAATACAGCCTCTGTACCACACAGTGATGCAGCCAGTGATATGGTGTTGTTGGTCCAGGAGAGGTCCTCAGAGCTGTGCACCCCCAGGAACTTGGTGCTGCTCACTCTCTCCACTACAGCACTGTCGATGGTCAGTGGGGGATGCTTTAGAGGTTTTCTCCTGAAGTCCAGTTGAAGTTGGTGTTACTTAATGCTCTTCCTTGTAAGGAAACTAATATCAGAATCAGAATCTGCTTTATTGGCCAGATGTGTCAGACACACGAGGAATTTGACTCTGGTACATCAGCTCTCAATGTGTGTGTGTGTTGCTTTATTGGCCAGATGTGTCAGACACACGAGGAATTTGACTCTGGTACATCAGCTCTCAATGTGTGTGCGTGTGTGTGTGTGTGTGTGTGTGTGTGTGTGTATGTATGTATGTATGTATATATATATATATATATATATATATATACCCATGCAAGACCAGTGTAAGACTGTATAGCAAAAAAATAGGCAGCATTAACAAGCAACAACCAGGACAAACGATGCAAAATTAAGCAGTGTAAACAGACAAAAGTGCAGACAGACGGGAATGCTCATCGAGATGAGATAATAGGAATGAGTTGGAATAAAAATAGAGACCAGGGCAAGAGGCAAGTAAACAGTAACTATCATAGGCTGTGTAATATACCAAAAATAGGCAGTAATAACAAGCACAAACAATGCAAGAAATAGAGACCTGTACGAATCTGTATAATCTGTACAATGTATATTTACAGGTATTGCACTGAAGGTTATTGTCCAGTCATACTGTCGTTGGTTAGGTGTTCATCAAAGTGACAGCTCTGGGGGAAGAAACTGTCTCTGTGCCTGGTTGTCTTAGTGCACAGTGACCTGTAACGCCATCCAGAGGGGAGGAGTTTGAACAGATTGTGTCCAGGGTGTGAGGGGTCTGCAGTGATCCTCTCCGCCCTCCTTTTGACCCATGAGGTGTACATGTCCTCCATGGAGGGCAGGCTCACACCAATGACCTTTTCTGCAGTCCTGACTGTCCACTGAAGTCTGTACTTGTCCAAGGTTGCTGAGCCAAACCAGTCTGTTCTCTGCACCTCCATCACTGACTTGATGATTCCTCTGTAGAACTGTATATATTTAAGGTTGCTTCTAAGCATTATGCCACAGATTCAGTGCTTGATGTCCCAAGACATGCACTAGATCCAGATTTTTGGGCTGATTATATCAAAAACTCATATGACGGAAATACTACGTTATGACCACTATTGCAGAGGATACATTTATCCACTAGATGGCAGACATGTTATATCCCACAAAGACTACCTTACATTTATGACAAGATATGGGTTTGGTGTGATACAAGCAATTAAATGGACACAATATAGAAAGTATTTGAATAATATACAGCAGGCCTATACCTGAAGAAATGTGATCTGTTACTATCTAGAACACAAACAGTATATAAAGCGTAATATAAATAGACACTGAAGAATTAAATCAAGTAAAAAAGATAAATAATGAACTTATATAAGAAATACAAAAATAGTACTTAAAAGATTGAAACAAGGCAACAGAATAAAGTGTCTATAGATAGCAGAACTTGCTGTTCTACCACATTTGAGTGACACCTTTTTTTTTTCTTTACAAGTAAACCTCTTTCAAAGGCAAATTTGTGGGCAAGTCCAAAAAGGCCTGGAGTAACTCATAAAGTTTGTCATGTATTCAGATAGGTGGGGTTGTTACTCAGGTTGGGAGTGACCCAAATATCACTACCCATCCACATTTCAAAATCGCTTGACTGCAGTGTTCAACTGCAGCAAATGGAGATAGATATTTGGCACAATCATTGTCACACTGATCAGCTGTGTTAAACCCCTACTGTGCTACATCTGCACAGTCTGGCTTCATGTTGTCATCTTTTTAAAAATATTTTCTAGCATTTACCAGGCATAACATCAGAATGGCAGCAAAGGTGTGATTATGCTGGTGGCATATGAATGCTTTTTCTTCTGAAATGTGTGTGATGTCACACAAACACAAAAATGCTTCATAAGTCATCTTTACATGCAAAAAATATTCATAATTATTTAGTTTACCAACCTATTATTTCTCAAAGGTTTCCTGGCATGACCTACCATATGCAGGTTCAAATTAATGTTTCTATTTTACCTATAATTAGTCTCAAAGTACAGTATATGATTCTTATCATAAAGGATAATGGGGAACCATTAGAAATTTACAAACCTATAAAATAAGGTGTTATTGAGAAACAAAAAACTTTCATTTTTAGCACCATCAGCTGTAATAGGAAGCTGTAAACACGTACTGTATATAATACCAGTCAGAGTTTGTTCTGACTGGTATTATATATCTTATACAGTTGTTGCCGTTACCATAGTAACAACAGCTGGGTGCACACATCCAGGAAACAAAGAGCAACATTAGCATTCATGAGTCATGTTTCTAGTCACAAGACAAATTGTAAATCCCAAAGTTACTCGGCCGTTAGCTCAGCTTTCATGTGAGGCAGCTCCTGAGAAAGTTGTCTGAGACTTTGGCTGTTAAATGTTTGATCTTTACCAACAGAGTTGCTAACATGGCTTTCTTGCTAGGAATACAGAATATAGTGAGTTTATAAAAAAATTTAGCTGCTTGATGCTTCTGAAAACAGGGCTGATGAAGTAGTTTATGGGCCATAAAAACTAAAACAATAAACTAAAAGCCTTTAAAAAGCTTTGTAGAGTTCAGGGAATCTGCAGAAATAGATGATAATTCTCTGCTGTTTTGTCACTAACAGGTACACTTTTCACATTGCACAGTTATGTAATTCCTTGTCAGTGTAAAAAATTATTAGTGCAGCTTTAATGCTCCATGTATAACTGTAAACAGGCATACAGTTTACCATCCAATATTTGCCTTACAAGTCTGAGTTTTTACTTGAGCTAAACAGACCTCAGTAAACAACAGTCGCATCTAAATTAAACATATACAGTTGCCCCACAACTCCGGGGGAAAATGAAAGCCTTTAATGGTGGCGCTGGATTTGTCAGCTGAAGCGCCTTGGAAACAATCATTATCCTCTGCTCATGTCTGCCACATGAAAGGGCCTGTGTTCTGGCAGAAATACATTTTATAATCCCACCATTCATGGTTGTTTTCATGCCTGCTGGTGGATATGTCTTTCCTGATAAGCCATCATACATCATTATTCCATGCAGCAATTGGGCAAGCAGATTAAGGTTTGCAAAAGGTGCAGTGAACAGCTTTACTGTCGCTTCATCTGCTTATGTGCATGGTTTATTGCATTTGCTACCACTTAAGAAGAAGAGAGTCTACCAGTTTGTGCAGTTTGCTTAAAGTGTTCATGGCATGCTCATTTCCAGTCATTTAATTTTTAATTTTAGATACCTCTAAATTAGCTTTGCACCCATCATAACTCCAAATAGTCTAATTATTTCAGAACAATAAAACCCGATATCACAAAGAGAGCCTCCTCCTAAAAATGAGAAGATAGTTTGTGAAAATGCACAACTCCTGTTACTGGTCCAGAAGCTATGACAACACATAAACAAAAACTTTGACAAATAAAGTAAGCATGTTCAAGCCAGAATATGAAAGTGGACAGCATGGCGAACCACAACAGGTATTAGTTTATTTGAATTTCTCCTCTATCGATAAGTAACAACGCTATATGTACTGATGAAAAGGGATTTGTAACACTCTAAACAAAGTGGGTAATTGAGAAACCCCATATTTTAACTGGTACAATGCCGACATAGTAACCTTTCCAGCAGTAAAACAATTCTCTCAACAGAACAACACATTAACAGGCATGCAACATGTGTGGGGTTTTTTAACTTACTGTTACATCCCACCAAGTAGTGGAAACTTTATTCCCAAGGTCCAAGGTCAGTAAATCCAACCGGTGATCACTGTGTCTTTCCCCACAAATCCATCATGTTATGGGTGATCACATACAGTCCCAACAGGTATCCTTGCACCAACAGTAACATCATGGGTCATTAGAATCCTCTCACCAGCCTGTAACAAATCACATGTGGCAGACACACTGGCCTCAAGCAGCCAAAACAAACAGGTACTGGGCCCCAGGGGAATCCAGCGTTGGTGAACTGATCATTCAACACCCCAAGGTGCTTCACTGGCCAGCTGCTTGTAGATTTCCAGCCACTCCATTTCACACCACATTAGACCCAGTCAGGTAAAACAGTGGGTCCCTGTACATGGACATTCCTGGACATGCAGTAACCT